TGCGGGTGTGGGTGTGAATGGGTGCGGGTGTGGGTGTGAGGTGTGGGCGTGAATGTGGATTCGAATGGTGGAAATACGCACACCCACACCCTATATTGAAAATTATTGATTTTCATACTATCTTACTGAAAACTTATTGCAACTTCATATCAATGTAAGTTTCATCTCTTCGCCTGATGCTGAAGGACGTCTATCATTATCCGTCATTTTCTGTTGTTCAAAGATGCTAACAGTTTCACATCGTACACAAATGAGTATCGATGCGTGTGGTTCATTTGAACTATATTTCGTTTTACGAAAATTTGTTTTCTTTGTTTGCCATCATTATTTGTCTGCTCTCCACATTGTGTATTTTACTGTTGTCATCAACAGTACTTCTCAAGAAAGCACTTGATTGAGAGAAATTTTAAAAAACGAAAAGAAACGAGAGAAAAAAGAAAAATAAGTAAAGCCTTTTTATGTTGCACAAGTAACAGAAGAGTCCCTCGACAAACAAACGACGCATTTTGCATGTACCACATTCAACCAAGCTGAAAACTATTACTAGTGAAATTCTCTGATAAATTTTAGTTTGATTTTTGTATCTTGGTAAGTAACTTACGAATACGGTTCCTAAGCAAATTTTCGAGTTTTTTAAATGTCATAAGTATAACAGATGAATGGCTAGAATATTAATTCCAAAGAATCGAGGCAGATATGATGTGGCAATTAATCACAGACTTTCGTTTATCTGGACAACTGATGATTTTTTCTTAGTCAGAGATCTATCCAGTGTATTTACCTGTATGTATCGTACACAGTATAATTGATTTAATGATTCTTTCTTGTAAAATTTGGTCCACAATTTACATGATTAGCTTTCTGCGTTCCTGTCGTATTCTTGTCATATTCTTTTCGTGATTGTCGATATTAAGATAAAAGTATCAAAATAATGTAACTGGTAATTTCATAAGATGACGAATAAAGAGGATGCTTTTATGCTTCGAAAGGTTGCCCATGAAGAAGAATGAGTGAATCGTTAAAAGCGAGAGTGAAACATTTGTGTAAGGGTTTCGGTGTGGACGTGGCTGAAAAAAAGCCGCACCCACACCCACACCCACACCAGGCTCTGAAACGTTCTGCTAGAAAAGCTACAAATAAGACGTTTCAGGTCTCTTATGTCGAATCCGAAGGTAATGATGAAGAACAATTAGGAGGTACTACCAAAACAACATCAGCAATACAGCGTCATATTGCACTTACTAAACATCAGATAGATTGGTATAATTGGTCACTATTAGGCAAAGATAAGCATCATTATAGACTATTAGTTAAAGAATCTCTTGCCATTGCAGAAAAAGAGCCTAGCCTTAATCTAACAACATGATCAGTACTTCTGATCATGTTCCTTGAGAGTTTTGCAAAAAGACGTAAAGATTTCGCAAAGTCATAACTACATTTGTCACCACATAATTTTCTCATATAATTGTTAATTCTAATACGTTTCTCTTGTAATTCCTAACATGAAAAAACTTATTTGATTTTTACATTTGTCTTCATTTGATCTTAAATTAATTATAATTCAACATAATTTTCTCATATAATTGTTAACTCTAATACATTCTATTGTAATTTCCTAACATGTAAAAACTTGTCTGATTTTCGCATTTGTCTTCCTTTTATCTTAAATTCATTGTAATTCAACATAACTATTTGCTACTATATCACTTTAGATTGCTAATTTCTATAATGTAATTTAACCCCTCTTATTCTTTAATTACTGTTTATTATTTTTACTGTTATTTTCATCATCATCATCTGTAGCGTATCCTACTGGACGTTGCTTTCGCTACGAGACTACGCCATTTCTGCCTGTCTTGGGCATTTTTCCAAGCGGAGAAGGGACCTAGGTTGAATGGACGAAGGTCGTCTTCGATGGAGCGGATCCATGTGTGGCGTGGTCTGCCTCGAGGGCGTTTCCATCCACATGGTGGCCCATTAATGCCTGCTCGTAGTGCGCTGGTGTGGTCGGAGAGGGGATTACCCCTAGCTGTGTCCAAAGTGTCGCAATTGTCTGCTTCTGATAGACGCACTGATCTCGGGTTGGCCGGTATGCTCACGGACTTCTTTGTTCGTGATGTGTTTCGTGTATGGTATGT